CCAGTGGTTACAGTGGTTGAAAACGTCCCCAGCAGCACACAAGGGTTAAAATTGTGGTGAGGTTTGATGTTTTTTGAGATAAGAAATGGCTGCATAAATACAAAGCAGCTTCCTCACAGAAAGCTTGTTTGTTTTCTCAGCTCCGCAGGTTATTTTGGATGTTCGGCAACTTCCTCCACAACCATCTCTAACACAGTGTCCATTCTGTCAGCAGTTTATAACTACAGATGTCTCAACCCAAGTTGGCAGTGTGGCCTATCTTATGTGTTTCATCTCCATTATATTTGGGTGAGCTGCCCTTTATGTGCTTTATTGTCAACTATGCTGAATAGGATTGTTGAGATTCTCTAAAATTTCCATCCCTAACAGTCCTTTCAGTTTTCCATCTGATATGGTTTGAGGTCTGAAATCATTAAATATTTATTTTAGTGTTTCCTCAGTAGCACATGACTGACTGTTCATTTCATGCAAATAGCTTTGATAAACGACTATAAATAATTTGTAATTAATAGCTGTGTCAAATATTATATGGTAATAATATGAATTAATTAATCTCTAAGTTTTGTTAATGTTAAAAGTCCCACTGAAGTGCATTATCCAGTATGACATGAGGGGCTACATCTCCATTTAAAAATAAGGCCAATCAGGCCAATAAGCCCCCCCACCCCACCCCCCCCCCCCCCCCCCTAATTTCTGTTTACGGAGAGTAGATTTTTTTCAACACATTTCTAATCATAAAGTTTTGATAAATCATTTCTAATAACTTTTTTTTTTTTTTTTTTTTAATCTTTGCCGTGATGACAGTAAACAATATTTGACTAGATGTTTTTCAAGACACTTCTATACAGCTCAAAGTGACATTTAAAGGCTTAATTAGGCTAGTCTGGTTAGGGTAATTAGGCAAGTTATTGTAAAATGATGGTTTGTTCTGTAGACTCTTGATAAAAAATATAGCTAAAAGGGGCTAATAATTTTGACCTTAAAATGTTTTTTTTTTTTTAATTTAAAATTTTTATTCTAGCCAATTTTAATTTAATTTTAGTCGGTGGGTGGGCTAATAATTCTGACTTCAACTGTATCTATATAAAATATATAACTTCTCTTGACTGAATATTTTAATATTAAATGAATAGTTCACCTAAAAATGTAGATTATCCCATATTTACTCATATTCAAGCCATCCTCAATGACTTTATTTCAGACAAAGATATTTTGAAGAACGAATGCACATTTGGCAGCCTTCTGAAGTCAGTGATTTATTTTGCCTCAAAACACACCGATGCAATGCTTTAACACACTTGTGGCGTATGCATTAGTTTCCTTCTAAATTGATGTGCTTTTAGAAACTTAAAAAAGGACCTCTATCCAATATTCAGCATGGAAAAGCTAAAACTATGCTGACTGTAAAATAAGAAAGTCATATACATCAAGGTTGGCTTAAAGGTGAATAAATTATGGGATTATTTTCATTTTTGGGAACAACTCCTTTAAGAGCAATGAATTAACATGAATTAACACCAGAAGGTTTGTTGAAAAATATAAATGGACTTGCCGAAATGTATGATTCACATTAATCAGCGATTAATCAGTGTTTCAGTGCTGAACGAAGCTAAAATAGCCGATAAAAATAACGTTATTTACCTCAGTGTCCACGTCTCCTTAGTTCAATGCAGTAGCACAGTAAAAAGGTGACTCTAGAGGGCAGCATTTTGCTATATATGATTTGTATTAAAGAAATAGTTGACCCTAAACTTAAAATGGTCATCATTTATTCATCCTTGTTCAACACCTATGTGAGTTTCCTTATTCTGTTGAACACAAAGGAAGATGTTTTGAAAAATGCTTGTTGCTGGCACCCACGGACTTCCATAAAATTGTTTTCTTTTTATGGAAGTCGATTGGTGACAGCAACCCAACCAGGATTCTTTAAAATATCTTCTTTTGTGTTCAACTAAAGAAAGAGACTTAAACACATGAGGGAATTTTTATTTTTGGGTGAAATATCCTTTTAAACACTATTTAGATTATGTTTTCAGTGTTTTGAGGGATATTGAGTGGTTCTCAATGACATTTGAGATATTAAATAAATGGTAACATGTTTGCTTTCCTGCACCTATTAAGGGATGACCATGAAAGACTGAACATATTTTGTATTTTTTTGCTTAACTTCTATGTGCAAGCCAGAGTATAATAAAATACAAACGATGCATCAAGAAACATGTTTTGTGAATACTTGCACTGTTTGTTGCTGCTCTAGATTTGCTGGTTTCAAACCGACAAATTCATATTTTTGGCGCAAACTTGCATTCACAATGGTATGAACCATTATAGGGGTGGTCAAATCTATATTGAAGTTATCTATTATTTTAATTATTTATATTATTTAAGATACAGATCAGAGCAAACTATCTCGTAATTATTAATGAGCAGATACCCCCATACATCGTTTTTAATTCCTTCAGTAAAATCAAGTGTTAATTAGGGAGGGCCAGACCCCCCCCCTCCAAACCTCCATGTAATATGCACCCTGGTGCTAGTCTATGCTATTTGTATTAAGAATCACACGTGACATATTTGTGTTCTTGTTTATTGTGTAGTTGTGTTGCTGGCTGCTGTCTAATCCCGTTCTGCGTGGATTCCCTCAAAGACGTGATTCACAAGTGCCCAAAATGCCGCAGTCACATCACCACTTGCAAAAGGTTCTGAGGGCAGAAGCTCTAATCAAGCTGCAATGAACAGGAAGCTCAGCAGAAGAATCTTCACTTTTATAATCATTACGCAACCCGAGGCACCTGGAAATGTTTCGGAAATGTCATCCTGACCTTTTTTATACAGGGAAGATCCCAATGGAATTCCCTGCATGCCTGTTTTTAAAGGTACAGTCGTGATCTTTCATTGCTCACTATTTACCAAAAGGAAAGTCAACTTCGGAATCTACAAGGTAACTCCAGTCTACTGGTTTAAACTTCAAGAACATTCAACACTTAATTATGGCTTGGACATACGCTTAAGTACTAAACGCTTTCATCATGATGTAGTAGAGGAATATAACAAACTGAATCAAGACATGATGTGACTAAAGGCTTGATTCTGTCTGGATATATTGGAGTTTGAGTTCTTCAGCTGATTAAAAGGAATTCAGACGTATTCCGTCTCGTTTTGTAGGCCTTTCCTCTGAGAAAAAATATTATCAGTGGTGAAATGTCAAGTCTATTTATTGTTTTAAAGCTTTCTTTGGATTCAGTTCTGCAAGTATGGAGGGCTCAATGATTCATTGATGGTTTCAAATGCAGAAATATTTAATGATAAAAGGCTGTATATACAATAAAGATATATATACAAAGAGAAAGTATTTACAGTTGCACAAATAGCCTACATTTGCGTAAAAATATATACACTGTGCAAAACATGAGGCATACCATCTACATCACGCTGGTCATTACATTTTCAACATTTTGTTTTCTTCACAGCAAAGCAATTACTCTGTTGAATATGCTTGATAAAAGTACACCTCGCTACAGGTCTGATGATAGGATTTTGCTCCTTCATGGGTCTTTTTTTGTACAAAAAATAATTCTAGAGAAATAAAACGTGATAAAAATATATGATTTTTTTGTGTAAATTTAAAAAAACTAAAAGCGCTTGGTCTCTGATAGAGACGGAACTATGGTATCCCTTTAAAAATTACATTTCTAAGCATAGAAATACATTCTTTCATTTTGACAACATGTTTGGATAAAGAACTGATTGTCAACGGGCTCAGTCCAAGATCAAGTAGGTGTACTATTTGGCATCATTGGCATGTTTTCACAGAGCGTCTAGGGAGAAATGTGCTATTATATTTGCCAAAACACTTAATAGAGTGATAAATTAAAACAGTGGTGATAAGAAAATCATTCAGATGTCTGCTTCAAAATGCTCCAGTCGCTACATTTTATAGAGGAATACTCTAAAAGTCTTACAGATTACTGGAGAAGATGCGCTTTAGCAACAGAACATTCACAAAGGCTTGATGTCACCTGCATTTCAGTGGTTATAGGAACATACCACTTTTTTAAGGAGTGGGGGGGGGGGGGGTAGCTTCATTTTACAGCTCAACGACAGTTTAACTGCTGAGCTTTACCATTTTAGTATTCATTCAGTCGATCTCCAGGTTTGGTGGTAGCACTTTTAGCTTAGCTTAGCATAGATCATACACTATTAGCATCTTACTCAAAAAAAAATCTATTTAAAGCTTGACTGTTTTCTAGTTGCATTGTGTAAGACTGGCAAAAAATGAAAAGTTGCTTATTTCTAGGCTGATATGTCTAGGATCTATTACAATAATCAAGCAACTTTGCTGCCCTAGCATGTCTGCAGCAGGTGCAATGATATTGTGCAGCACCAGAAAATAGTCCCCAGCTAAGTAACTAAGTTGTAGTCCTTGGCTGCGTCCGAAACAGCCGATTTCTAAGTAGGTACTGCATTTGAATTTAAGCATACTATTCGGCTGTTAGAAAAGTACAGTAGTAGTATGAATTGAACACACACATACTACAACCGCCATTTTGTCCTCTTCACATGACCTACCCGCAAGACTTGCATCACTTCACTCCCATCCATGAATTCTTCTGCAGGGCATGATGGGATAGCGCATAATTTGCAAACTTCAGAATCTCGCCGGAGGTAGTAGGTCACCGGGGTACTTCTTGCATACTGATTTTCGAATTCTATGTATTTGCACATACTACTCGGCTTGCATATTGTTTTTAGCGCACTATACAGTATGGAAGTATGCAATTTTGGATGCAGCCCTTGATTATCCATTTAAGTCGTGACGAATGGAATTCTGTTTCTGGGTCCAAGCTGCTACTCATTTGAATTATGAAAATATTTGTTTATGACCACTTTTTAGTTGTCACAGACACCAATATTTTTACAATTTATAAAAAAATTAATCACTTTCTGGCCATCGGATATTAGACATGGATATATATATATATATATATATATATATATATATATATATATATATATATATATATATATAAATTGTGATTTTCGATAGTATTACATCGCTTTGTAAATGTTTGTTATTACCATTTGTCTTCCCATATAGTTTGATATACGACTGGACCCGGAAACCACTTCGCATGATGTCACACCTAACAAGCGGATTATGCTGGACTGAGAACATCACTACATTCGAAATCGCACACTTCCATACTATATAGTACGTTAATAACAGTATACAGTATGTGAGCTTAGTATTTCCAAATTCATAGTATTTGAAAAACAATATGCAAGAAGTACCTGCATGACCACTACCAGCAAGATGGACGATTCGATATCCCTTAATGCCACGTGAAAGAATTCATGAATGAGTGAATCAACTGCTCATATTCATACTGTATAGAATGTACTTTTCTGATGGCTGTGTAGTAAATTAATAATCATATGTAGTACCTACTGAGTAGTAGGCGACTTTGAATGCAGCCTATAATTCCTAGCCATATTGACAAAGAAAATAGCAACTTTTCATTTTCCGTGTTAGTACATGATGCAACTACAGAAGGGTCTGAACAAGATGCTAATGGTCTAATCCGAATTAATCATTTATGCTAAGCTAAGCTAAAAGTGTTCCTGGCTGACACAGAGATCAGCTGAATGGATTCAAAACTGGTAAAACTGTTTTACTCTCGGAGACTTATAAACATGACACTTTTGCCAAAAAAAGTGAAGTGTTCCTTTAAGCAGAAAGAAGCTCTGTGAAATACAGTGAAGTTAGGCCTCAGCAGTCCATCTACATCCAAAAACAAAAACGTACAGTAATGCAGAGTCTCAATCCGAATTCAGCCTCATCTGAATATGGAAATTTCACTGGTCCTGTTTAGTGTTGTTTCCCTGGTCAGGACACACAACTGTGCCAGTTCAGCTGGTTTGGTCTGGTCTGTAAGAGAGAAATACCGTTCATCCTATCTCTGCTCTTTTGTAATGGATGATAATGGCCACTGCTTAGGTTTGTTTGTGGGTTTTCCCCCTCCCTCTCTTTGGCCTCATGCTGGGTTTGGTAAACAAACTGGCTCTGTTCTTCCTCAGCCTGTGTGCTGTATAAATTTGAATGTTTTATGTTACTTTAGCTGCCACATTACTGAGTACCCTAATGCGATGGCTAACAGCTCACGCACAATGGCAGTTTACAGCCAATGTAAATGAGCCATATTTGTAATGATTATCACGGCACAATGTTTCTGTCACAAATGTTGGACATTTGCAAACTTTACAGAATTAAAGGGATAGTTCAGCCCAAAATTAAAGTACAGGTCATCATTTTGTATGAGTTTCTTTCTTTAATCGAACACAAAAGAAGTTATTTTGTTTCCCAGTACTGGGTTGCAGCCTGGGTTGCAGCTGGAAGGACATCCGCTGTGTAAAACATCCGCTGGATAATTTGTCGGTTCATTCCGCTGTGGCGACCCCTGATGAATAAACGGACTAAGCCGAAGGAAAATGAATGAATGAATGCAGTTATTTCGAAGAATGTTTGAGTTTTTTAAGCTCCAAAATGAACATGATCCTTTGTATGATGTACAAGATGAAGTTCAAGCCCTTATTTTGTTTAATCAAAAGATTCAGTGAGATTAGAATGTCACGATGGAAGACATTTGCTTGATTTGTGATGTATATCTGAGTAAAACGTTATTAAAATACTGTTTAATAAAATTAAATAACAGATGGATAATTCATTCACAATATTAGACTTATTTTCATGCCAACTTTAAAGTTATTAATAAGCTATTCGTATGTGTACACTGATCATTTTTAAGCACAGTGTGACAGTTAAAGTCAGACAGAACTGGAAGTTGCGGACACTTATTTCAGCATATTGATGTACTTCCATCTGAAACTGAATATTGAGTCGAGCTGGAGCTTCCTTTTTGTGAATAGTTCGCTTGTAGCAAGCTAGTGGGGGCATGGTTAAGAATATTTTGGCTGCAGCTGTCAAACTGATGTCAATAGAGAAAGTCTGCAACTTCAAATGAGGACGCAAATGCTCAGAATTGAATTAAAGATTAATCAGAACTAAGTTTTTTTTTTTTTCAATGGATTAACTTTCACAGATTAATTGTTCATCTAAAAAAATAATGTGTCCTAGCAAAATAAACATTGTCAATTTGCACTTTTAAGACTTTTAAAAGCTACCATTATGTCTTTTTTGGAGCTTTAAAGTTTAAGCTTCATTCACACTACGTGCGACTTGCAGCGGCAAAGAGACAAGTGAGTGTTCATTTCAATGGATAGTGAGAAACTTTCGGCGACCTCCGTCTATGCAAGCGACATCGATCATTGGCGACCAGGTGGCCGCAACAAAGTTGACAATCCTTCAACTTCATGCAAATGAAGATCAAATTTCGTGAGTGACAGCAAATAGGAGCACTAGTAGAGTTCAAATAATCCTCTCTCAGCTCGCTCAGAGTTTGGTTGTATTCCCTGTGCTGTAGACCTACACAGACCTGTGTTTGCAGCACGACCCCACCCAGAGCGACACGCAGCTACAAAGTGGAAATGAAGATTTCAACAGACAAAACAGCTTTGAAATGTGTTCTTCTGTTTTCCACAAACGAAAGATAAAGTTTAGAATAATTTTAGGATGAACTATCCCTTTAAAATAAATGACTACAGTTCATGGACAAAGTGAATAGCAAAGGCACAATGACTGCACTTATAATCCTTACTTTCCCCAAAAAGAGTGACATGAAACTAATATACATATCCTGTCAGTAAAAAAAGACACTTACTATAATCTAAAAACAACATTTTAGATACCAAAGGCCAACAGTTTCAAAAACTGCTTCAATATATCTAAAAAGCAGATCGCTGCCTAAATATATAGGTGGATAAAAAGTGTCTCTACATTCTTTTTCTGCCTTGAAAGAAGTGTTTGTAACAATAACAGCACACAAACCTGCGCAAATGAGAAAAGCTGGTGCTAAACTATCAGTGGTCACATTGGCTTTCGCACAGAACCCAATGACTGAGCTCTACAACAGTCCATCCATTGTGAGCTCATTCCCAGTGTAACGGCAGATCAGTGGAATCCAAGAAATCTGATGAAAAGACTGGGTTTGGAGAGGAGATGCCAGCCGGACCGGGGATCGTGAGGTCCAACCACTCCATGTTATCGAGACCAGGTACTTGAAGGGCGGTGGGCGGCGCATCTGTGAAAGTCAGATCTGAGGTGTCCATCGGAGAGTGTGGTCGCTCCAAAAGCTGGTTTTTAAGCTCCTCCATCAGTCTCAGGGTTCGGGGTTCTGCGTCCTCCAGAAGAGCCTCCAGCTGGTTATCAGACGCCAGGGCCACCAGGCTGAGTGGAGACACATGGGTTTGGTTAGGCGGACGGGCCACATGTACCTGTGGAGGAGGACGTGACAGCACCGTGTTGATAGGCAAGGTGGTGATGTTGGCTGTCACAGGGTGAAGTTTGTCCAGAGATGGATCCTGCCTGGATAGAGGTGGAATTTCTGGGAGACCACAAAAATGGTTTAGTTACATATTCATTACAGCTGAAATTTGTGATTTGAATGTCTGAAAGCTCTCACCTCCACTCTCTATTAAGACGTCAAACAAATCGTCCATGTGCTGACTGGTGGCAGTGGGAACCTTTATGGAAAAATATGAGATAAGACTACACTAAGACATTACAAAGTATGCAGCATACTTTGAGATATCCTTCAGTTTAAACCAAAACAAGGACCTTTTATTGATCAGAACCTGTAGATTGTGGACAAATGTAAAACAAGTGGAACTTAAGCTTTGGCTAAGTGCTCAATTTGGAGTGGAGATCAACATTATGTTACCTACGCTTTTCTAAAATTCCTTACTTCCACCTATCTGAAATTATCTAAACCGGAGTAAAAGAGCAGAGGGTGCTATGAGTTGCTTAGCTAATCATTCTTAGCATGCAGCTATGCTGGAAGTCCCATTTGCTGTCATTAATTTGCTAATTCCTTATTTATCTGACAAAACCTAGTATAATCTGGCTAAATACAAATTACCTGGCAGCCAAACTTTGCAATTTTCACTGACGGAAGGATATTGAGCTGTTCTAAAGTGACTGAAAGACTCAGCATGACAGCATGTTTTCTAGATAAAAGTTAGCAAGCACGAAAAGTTCGTTGTTACAATTGGTGATTTTTAAAATAATGCATCTTTACAATGACAATCAATCATTTAAGTCTTCCAAAATGGCTGTTCGTCCATTAAAGTCAAAAATATCAGAGGACAGGATAATGTGGAGAATCTCCATGAGCAATCTGAAGTAACTTAGCTTACTATTATTAGCATAAGGTAACATGCAGCGAGGACCACGATGGAAACAAGCCCAGGGCTTTATTGTGTTTTTATCCTTTATTCAGTTCCATTCAATTCAATTCAATTCAATTCAATTCTATTCAGTTCAGTTCAGTTCAGTTCAGTTCAATTCAATTCAATTCTGATATTGATCTCCATTTGTATACTAGTTAAAACTGATACTTGAGAATAGCTTTAAATTACCTGCATTGTGGCTTGCAGACCTCTGGTTTGTTTGACGGCCTCCTCGTAGCCGGGGGGGTCTTTGCTCTTCGGGCTGTGGTGATTGGGGAATGATGATGGCTGAAGGATGTAGTTGAGCTGACAGGGTGAGGGAGGCTAAACAAAACATAAAACATTGATTAGCTACACTAAAGAACAAAAAGTGAGCGTACACATGGATTCTGTCAATGTCCTGTTTTTTTCTTCAAGAAAATCAAAATTAGTTCTATGGAAAACAAAAATAAGTGTTCAGAGTGTTTGTTAACCAATTGCTACGCAGCCAAAAACGTTCTGCATGCTCTCCTGATTGCAGAGCGCATTGAGGTACAATGTGATGTTTGCGCCTGTCACTTTTTATCCAGCCGTCCAATCACAATAAAAAGGGCGGGGCAAATAAAATACTGACTCACTTTCACATCTTACTTAAAAAATGACTGAACAAGAGTCCATGTTTGTACAAGTTAGTGATGAGGAATATGAAATAAAAACCATATCATGATATGTTCGCTTTATTTATTGCGGTCACAGTATTAATGACAATAATTCATATGTATCCACTGAGAGACTTGTACAAAAAATATTATGAACACATGCATGATATAATGTTTCATTCATATTATACTCTAGAGGGCAAAACTAAGTATAAACACCACATCTGCATTACAGAAGTAAAGACATCAACTATCGTGGCACTATATGGTTTATTTGTGCTCTTCAAGCCATCCGGAGTGATTTCATAAGGATTAAGTATATTTCTAATGCAATGCTAATCAGCTTAGCTATTTTCAACGTAGTTAATACTATAAGATGGCATGATTTCCTCCTGATTCTGTGATATGAAACCATGTCTGCTCACAAAAAAAGGGATTTCAAACACTTGACTAATGAAGTAATAGGGTTGGAGTTAGCAAAATGTTAGGGTTAGCAAAACTGTATCATACACATGCTCCTGGAGTCACAGGAAGACTAATTTTATAGTGATAATATGTTTTAATGGTATATTTCAAATAATATCACTGATCCCTTGAACCAGTTTTCCGCAATACCAGATTACTATAATATTGATCTACTAGGACCAACGTTTTGTTATTGGTGGTTCTACCAGGTAAGCAGCTAACACTAAGGCTGCGTCCGAAATCCCATACTTCCATACTATATAGTACGCTAAAAAGGCGAGAAGTATGTCCAAATTTAAAGAAATTGAAAAACAGTATGCGAGAAGTACCTCGATGACTAGGGCCAGACAGAATTTGCGGATATTTTTTGCTATTTCTGCGCGTAATTTTGTAAAATATCTTCGGATTTATGCGGAAGGATTTTGCGATTATTGTAACTAAAAACATAATATATGAATTCCAAAATGATACATTTTTAACTGTTATTTAATGTTTACAATGCAAATCCAATTAGATCTACTTATTTGATAAACAAAACATAATTCTCATATAATATATTGACTACAAGACAAAAAATATTACTTTACAAACTGTATTGTAAATAAATCATATGAATATTTTCATATTAGTCAATCATTTAATGAATTCAAAAACTGAATAAATATAATTTTACACACCTTTACACAAGTAAATAAATAGACTAAATGATGGGCTAAAAATCTGCGGATTTCTGCGTGCGCAGATTTCATGTGGGCCTAACGATGACCTACTACTTTCAGCGAGATTCTGAAGTGTGCATCCGATGCACACTGTGGTATTCCATGATGCCCTGCGAGAGAATACATGAATCAGAGTGAAGCGACACAACTAATGTGGGTAGGTCCCGTAAACATGTTAAAATGGCGGATGTAGTATGTCAGAGTTCAATTTATACTACTGACATTTATACTGTATCGAAAGTACTTTTCTAATGGCCGAGTAGTACATTTAAATTCGAGTGCAGTGCCTACTGAGAATAGGCGATTTTGGACGCAGTCTAAGTCTCCAAGGCACTTTTGAATTCCCCCAAATTGGTCCTTTCAGAAAAAATTCTGGTATCAAAATGTTTCAGCCCTCATTAAAAATACTGTAGTAATTTCTAGTAAATACTATAGTGCTTTTGAACCATACTATAGTCAAGTCAGTGGTGTAGCGGACAGGCCCGCAGGGCACACACTGCGTGATTAGGGGGCCCCATGTCGTCTCGATTTTTAATAATTGAAAATCCGGCAACCGCAATAATCAAACTCTTGGGAACAACTGTGGTCGGAATTAAAGTTCTCTGAACTCCTCTCAAGTGGTGGACGTCTTCATTCTGATTGCTTGCCAAACCGCAGCATAGCTTATACCATAAAGTTGACTTGATTTCAACTCTCCTCGACGCCCACACAGGAGAAGACGCTCCGCGATGTTTCTCGCCGCTGGTTCTCATTAAAAATGAATGACTTCTGGCTACTTTGACGCTCTCGCTGCTTTCGGTTTGTGATCGCTCCTCAGTTTGTGAAGGCTTCCCCGCGTTGTCCTTCCACCCCGCCCCTTTCCCGCTCCTTAGTTTGTGATCGCTCCTCAGTTTGTGAAGGCTTCCCCGCATTATCGCTCCACCCCGCCTTCCTTCCCCGCTCCTCAATTTGTGATCGCAACTGGGGGCCCCGTCAGTGATCCCTGCAGGGGGGCCTCCGCATTTTGCGCTACGCCACTAAGTGAAGTGTATTATACTGTATATAGTATTTAATGTACAATGCTTTGTTAGTGAACACAAACATGTACTCTAGTATAAACTATAGTGAACTGATAAAACTTTTATAAATACTGTAGCATTTCTTAGTCTTTACTGCAGTAAACTAGTTTTTTTGTAGTAAAACACACCCTATAGATGTAGAAAACTACAGTATTGGGTCATTTGTTTATAACGCTATAGTTATTGTGTTGCCATAGCAACTACACACCACAAACAGATTAATTCAAGCATTTTGCTACAGTATGATTACAATGGCATTTACTATAAATTACCACAGTATTTTTTCATATGGGAGTGAATGATTGCTATAATACAAGAGCCTGTCTTACATTGTTAATATGTCCATTTGGAGTTGTGTGTCTTGGGGAGACTCTGGGCGAGTTGTTGATGAAGCACTGGGGCTGGTTCTGGTTCTGCCTGTACTCAAACCCAGAAGGTGAACCTCCACACAAAGGTAAAGCCTGTAAAAACATGAGGCGGGATGTTAATATCAGGCCCAGAGCAGCAGTGTAAGAAAATATGTGTTTATCAGTATGTAAACAAAAACCTCTTGATCACAGACCAAGTCTCTGTCTTATTGATTAGTGCTCTTTTTGATTTTCCCCTTGCTCTTTTCTTCAGTCACCTACTTCGTCAGGTCTGCGTTTGATGTTGTCGAGAGGGTAATAAATCAACTCAACTGCTATCACCAGGACAACATCAGAGAGATAAGTACAGGACACATCGCAGACCTCAGAAATGGTTTTCGTTTTAACCTACATGCCAAATCAGATCAGGCCTTGTCATCACAAAAAGGAACTTAAATTTATGAAGAGTGGGAACACTGAGAGGAAGAGGAATATTAAAGGTTAATATTTACAAGCACACTAAAGTATATATTTATAAAAATGTGATCATATATTGATCTTATACTGTACTTTTATTAGAGCTGCATGATTATTTGACATGTTGTCAGGGAAACACAAATTTGCTCAAAAGCCAGAGGGCGTAGAAACTGCATGTACGCCAAATATAAGAGACACGGCTGAGAAATCAAATAGAGCAGGAGATTTAACTGTTTCATTGATTCGTCATTGCTAATAAACACACAACTACTAAATCATCTTACAGAGAGATATATTTCAACCATGTTACTAAATGTCGTATTTTCACATGCTTTCAGCTCAGCAGCAAAACTAAGCCATAGTTCACTGTAAAGCAACACAAACATCTGTAAAACAATTCTTATCAATTTCAGCATTGTGTCAATTAAGTCTTAATCGTTTGCGTTGCTTGTCAGTGAACTTTGGCTCTGTGTAGTAAACTCTGCTCCATCTGAAAGCCGTTCCTGGAGATTTACATTAAATTACAGAACCGGCTTTACTGACAAAATGTGCATTAATACTGCCTTTCAATATTCAGCCTGCTCTAACTTTTATCCTAATATCTTTTAAATCACAGTAACGCATAACTCATAGCTACACTGTTTGAGTTTTAAAATTATCACTGAAATTAACATTTACACACTCATTATCGTAGTGCATTGTGGGATTGAGTGCAGAATGCTCACTATTTCGGACACCACTACAAATGCCTGCTCCCTCAAAATAGTGCAATAGGTTTGAGTGTTACTACAAAGCTACATGCAGGTGAGCTTTTATCAAAGTTGGATCAAAACTCTGCATGACCACATGACCACCCCTGGACCATGCTATATGCTAAAATATTTTAAGAGCTGAAAAGTGCTTAGATAGATGCTTTGAATGCTTCCATTCTGTTCCAAATCTAAAATGCCCATTTCTAAATAGATATAAATAAGTGAAGTTTATTTATAAACTAATTTCGAGAGCATCACATGCTTATGATTGCTTGCAGCCGGTCCCGCATTATCCAATTTATAATTCACCAATAAGACGAGTCCTAAGCCACTATAAATACCCTAAGTTCTATATAACAGCCATCTTCATTTTGAAGAATTCCCCTTCCACCCCCACTTCTCCTCCTTTCCTAGATGGGTGGCATGGTGGCCCAGTGGTTAGCACTGTTGCCACGCAGCAAGGACGTCACTGGTTCTAGTCCTTATCAAGCTAGCCGACGTTTCTGTGTGGAGTTTACACGTTCTCCCCGTGCTCACATGGGTTTCCCCTGGGTTCCTCCCACCATCCAAAAACATGCAACTTAAGTTAATTGACTAATAATTGGCACCATAGACATGCTTCTAGTAAGTAGTTATCTCTTAAGAAGAATCACTATCTGTTCATTAGCTACTACAGCAGGGGAGTTCTCAAGATCTACCTGAGCTCAAACTCCCCTCCCGCCTTGCAAACGGGAGGGAGCCCCGGGCTTGAGTTTCTTATGAGCTCAGGGTTCTCTACCGGGACAGTATGCCAAACAAGCTTTAAAACCATTCATCAGCTAAGTGTGAACTCATGAAAGAGCCTTCTTCTTCATTGTCTACAAGACATGGGTGTTTTCTTCACCCATTACTCATTCCCTAGATGAAAACAAGGTCATTTCACTTGGCGGTCATCTTTGAAATGCCTCTCTGGCAGTTTGCTCAGGCACGATGTTTCAGGGGAAACATCAAATTCTCCAAAACTCTTAACTAAACGTTTGATTATATTACATATTTGAACCAATAAGATTAAACAACAACTGTCTCATAAGCTTTGTTTCTAAACAATTGAATCAAACTAAATCTGTATTTTTTTAGGTTGCCTGAGCTACAGTGCATACGCACTCGAAAGGAACAAGATCACGACACTAACCTCATTTATGGCCGTTCTACACATTACTATCCTCTGGATAATGAACATCTGATTGAGCTGCTCTTCTGAAGTAATACACAACTTGTTCTTAATGTTGAATCTTCTCCAGAAATGAAAGCGACTCCTTTTTTACAAGGAGTGGGCTTTTGAGTAGTTGCTGTTATGTGATGTGCGTTTGACAAGATGGACTGAATCTCGCATTTGTTCCATACAGATTACAAAATAAAAAAAATAAAAACTTTTGTTTTCAAGTGCACTTGATTCATTTAAAAGTACATATTTCAAGCTTTATGTGGATATACTTCTTATGTCTGTAAAGCATGTATTCAAAGAGATTTCAGTGTGTTTGTCAGCCACAAAAACTGTGGTAAAAGCACATGTCTGGTCCAAGCCTCTCCCTCAGAGAAACATCAGTCAATAGACTGATTTCACGTGGCCGCCATTTTCAAAAGCGAAATCGGGGCTGCGGTGGGAAGAAACCTGGAAGTATCATTGGGAGTTGCATAGGAATGTTGTGTATCTGGCTGTATATCTTATCAGCGAAGAGAAAGTGACACAAATTTATAATTTCTCCGCCTTCCGGGTGACCCGAAGGTCCGTTCTGAATGACTGGTGAATGTAAAAAGGGATATCAGAGCTCATTTTTAGCTAAGTTAAGGGGAATGGCACTAGTTAGCTAACGTTTTCTTTTCCAAACACATGTTTTAGATGCCATTTTTCAAACTCGAATTAATATATATTAGACTTGTCACGATACTGAATTAAAAGAAAAAACGGCAATTTTGCGCTAACATTTAAGGCAATGTTGACGACTTTCTTAAAACAGCGCTGATTTGCCATTGTGTTCACATGTTCAACAGAAATGATTGTGATTGGCCGAGAAGGTCATCAGTTCACCCACCGCTGTATACTGAGCACAAACACAGATGAGCCAAGCGATCTGCTTGATGACTCAATTGATCTTAACGGCTGCTTCGCACTCCAGTTCGTGTATCTGTGTTTGCACTGGGTGAAGAGCGGAACTGAGTGCAAACCAAATACAGATACACGGAGACTGAAGCGCGAAGCCGTGAAGATCAGTCGAGTCATCCGCGCTCAGCAGCACTTCCATGTTAGCTGGAAATAGCCGGGTTTAAAACTTCAGTAAAAGGACAACACTATTACAGACAACACGAGGGTGTGCTGCAGAGGACTGCAGTGTTTTATCACTCACCGGGTTACATAGGCTGAAGCAGGAAAGCGTCCTCATGGTGTTTAACTAGTGCCATGAGCTGAAGCCTAGGAGGACACTTTAGCGTATCACTGAGATTGTGATCTTGTTTGATGCTAAATTGCTTTTAATTGTTTATAATAAACTTACTAAATTATATTTAAGTAATGTTTACACCATTTCTGCATTTTGAAATCTCGGCAACAGCTGGAGGTTTGTAGTACACAGCATGTTACTGCAATGTTTACAGTGCTGGTCCTATACATCCGGGTTTCTTCCCACCGCAGCCTCGCTAAAATGGCGGCCGCGTGAAATAAGTGTATAGCAGTGGTGGCCAACCCTGTTCCTGGAGAGCCACCTTCCTGCAGATTTCAGTTGCTACCCATATCAAACACACCTGAACCAATTAATTAGGACACCACGTGATAATTACAGGCAGGTGTGTGTGATATGGGTAGCAACTGAAATCTGCAGGAAGGTGGCTCTCCAGGAACAGGGTTGGCCACCCCTGGTCTATAGCGATCGATGAATGGCTCCTGTACTAGTAGTAAGGGCTTCGTTCGACACATTGACTGTTACACTTTTCCCCATTCAAAACTATACGAGTGACATGTCTAGTGTATTCTAGAGTCTTTGATGAATATCACACAGAAGTGGTATATACTCACATGGGGTGGTGAAGGCGTCTGATTTGAATGCTGCTGTAGCATCGCATTATTGGACGTTTGTGTTTGCAGAAGTGGAGTCTGTCCGATGCTTTGTGCCAAACTGGTTGATTGGAGAATAGTTGGTGCCTGCCAAAAAGAAAAGAAAAGCTCAGAATAAAATATTTATAAGCGTATACATTTTCCTAACCATAAACAGAAGTGAAATATCACCTGTGTGCTCATGGGGTTGCTGGGCAGGCTGATGGGAAGCAGGATTTGTGAGGCAGACTGCGGGCTGATAAGTGCCTGCTGGTGCAGTACTTGAGGGACTTGCTGGGTTTTAATATAGAACTGCTGCACTTGAGCGTGGGCCATCTGGGTATGTGGCTCTTCCTGTTTCACACCTGGAGCTTGCAGACTCTGCCCGGAGTTGCAGCTAGGGCTGGCACCAATCTCCTCTTTGACTTGGACCAGTGGACAGGGTTCAGCCTGGTGTCCTCCACTCCTTTTCTCCACCTCCAACTGCATCTTCAGCTCCTCCACCAGCCGCTGCTCCTGCTCCAGCTTGCGCATCAGCTCCTCAATCTGGCGCTCCTTCTCGTGGAGGCGCTGGTCTTTTTCGGACACCTTGATGTCCATGTCTTCAGATACAAGTTTGAAGGGCGAGGTCCCTCCTGGAGGCTGGGCCGGAGACAGTCTGCATTGGGCTTTAGTAGGACTGTCCCTGCTGTCCTCCATGCTGACATTGGAGGCCTCAGGAGACACGGGTGGAGTTGTGCTCATGCTATCAGGTAGCAGAGAAGCTTTGGAGATGTTTGTGTCCATGGCTTGAGAGCTCTCCTGGTGTGCTTTGAGCCTTTCTATCAGGTCGATCTTTGTGCCCGACACAGGAAGTCCACGCAGTTTTAACTCTGCCTTGAGTTCAGCCACCTAGAAGACATAGGAGCAGCTGTACTTCTGTTCACATGTCTAATGGCTTGTTTCCACTGTCCAGTACAGTTTGACACACTACGGTACGGTACACATTTATATCTGTTTTTACAGTCAGAAGTAGGGGTGTCAAAATTAATTGTTTCTTCAATGTAACACAATGCAGATGTGGACAGTTCGTTATTAGTTAATTAACAGATCATCTTACCGCCTGACATCCTTTATCTAGAGCTTGGTGATATGGCAAAAAAATTATCACAATCATTTTTTTTTTACATCGGTCGATATCGATAATTATCACGATAAATGTCGAATCTTTAGATTGATCAATTTTATAGGATTTTCAGCATGCAAATCCCTTTGTGCAGCTGATTAAGCACAATTTGTGAAAAGTTAAGCTGTCTGACAATATAAATGAAATGATAATAAACAAAATAACAATCAACTCAGCATTTACTGTTCAAGTTTTAAACAAGAATTCTGATAATTCAGATTTCTTCATATTAAAGATCACACCAACTATGCAGTTAAATGTGTCTAATTTACTTTTTTTGGAAAATAAAGAAAAGTTATGAATACGTAAAGAAAAGGAATGCGTTCATATAGAACATTTGTTATTGATATGTTATGCGCTTGACTGGTGTGTTACAGGTGTATCTACAGATGTTTCTCTATACAGCTGCATGTCAGATTTTCAGTGCCAGTGTCTGTTGTTAATATGTCTGTAAATGTTTTTAGCTTTAGCTTACAAAAAGGGTTTTGACCAGCAGTTTAAAAGCTCTCATACATCCGGCTCAATCCGCGACGCAATTGTTGTTTGTTAGTTTCAGCTTGGCGCAAGAGTCATTTTGAAGTTTTGCGCCACGCTATTTAAATAGCAAATGCATTTGCGCTTATATATGTGCCTGTAGGCGTTCTGATCTTGAAAAGGAGGTGTGTTGAGGCGCATTGCTGATGCGTTGCTATTTTGAGAAACTATGATATATTGTTCAATGGACCAGAACAAAGCCGGTCTAAAGTCCAGCCAGAGTGCGGTAGTTGTGCGCCTCGCTTACACACTGCTTAATACAGACAGGATGTGCAGCAATATGCAAATATATAAATATGCTTAATAATGATTAAGGATATGTATAGTATATAAATATAAAGGATTCAAATATTACAAAACATATTATTTTCTAGCCTACATAAATATAAATCCATACTTTCATGCCTTCTTAATCTCGGGGGGCTTTTTCAGTTTATTCATAACAATTTGTTTTTGTATAATTTTATTATTATTAGCAGTATTATTTATTATATCCATATTTATATTTGTTTTATTAAAAACAAGCTTAGATTTGCCCACCTGTCAGGTTTTAGACCATATGGGGCAAAGCATGTGTATTAGGATATAACTCAGTTTTTATTGTTCATTTATTAGTTTGCTGGAAATTAGACCTAAACTTAGAAATAGTTTGGTAACAAATCTTTGCGCTTAACAAACAAAATTAATTATGTATAGGCAAATGGATGTCTGTGCGTACAACACATTTCCCCATCCCCGAGAGTGAAAGTGAAAGTAAAGAATGAGGAGGCTCATCTCTCATTCTCGCGCTGTAGATGCTGTTTAACTGTTTTCTTTCTAGTCAAATGCTCAGTTTTTCCACTTACAAAGTCCGTCATGTAAATAGCAAATGCGCTATGGCGTGATGCAACTGACTCTTTAAGGAAATGGGAGATGAGACTCTCATTGGTTTATTCTCAAAACACAACTATAATTATTAGGAAAATGAGTTCAACCCATTTTTCCATCCGTAAAATAACATAAGTGGACTCCGACATGCCCTTACTGTTTTTGCGCCCTGTGCTTTCCACATAGATCGTAAAAATAGAGCCCTTAGGGCTCTATTTTGATGGTCCATGCGCAAAGTGCAAAACGCAGGGCGCAAATGCTTTCAGGGCGTGTCAGGACGCATTTTTGCTAATTTAAAGACGGGAAATCTGCCTTGCGCTTCGGCGCATGGTCTAAAAGGGTTGAGTTTATTTTCTTAATGAGTTATAGGTGTGTTTTAAGAATAAACCAATTAGAGCCTCATCTCCCATTACCTTTAAGAGTCAGCTGCGTCGCGCCAAGAGCGCATTCGCTATTTACAGCAATTTAAAGCAAGTCTAAGTGGAAAAACTGAGCATTTCACTAGCAAACAGTTAACAGTTTTTTAACAGAAAACTGTTAAACAGAGCATCTACTGCGTGAGAATGAGAGATAATGGATCACTTTCACTTTTGCTCTTGGATAGGGAAACCTTTACGCACAGACATCAATTAGTTTATAAATAAATACTTTTGTTTGTTAAGCGCAAATATTCGTTTCAAAACTATTTCTAAATTCAGTTCTACTTTCTAGCAAACGAATAAATGAATAATAATAACCAAATGTGCTCAAAAACCTGAGTTACATCCTAAAACACATGCTGTGCCCCATATGGTCTAAAACCTGACAGGTGGGCAAATCTAAACTTGTTTTTAATAAAACAAATATACATATGGATATAATAAATAATACTGCTAATAACAATAACATTATACAAAAGCAAATTGTTATGAATGAACTGAAAAAGCCTCCCGAGATGAAGAAGACATAAAAGCAGTGGTTTTTCATATTTATGTAAGCTAGAAAATAATATGTTTTGTAATATTTTAATCCTTTATATTTATATTCTATATCTATTCTTATTATATCCTATATATATCCTTAATATTTACATTTTTTCATATGTAAAGATATTTGCCTATTGCTCTCTTCTGTGTATTAAGCAGTGCGTAAGTGAGGCGCAACTCTGCGCCGGAGTTTAGACCGGGTTAGTTTTGGTCTAATGAAAAATCTATTATAGTTTCTCAAAATAGCCAGTGGTCCGCCTCAGAATGCCTCCCTTTTTAGACCAGAACGCCTATGGGCGCATAATGAGCGCTAATGCATTTGCTGTTTAAACAGCGTAGCGCAACGCCTCAAAACGACTCTTGTACCAAGCTTAAACTACTAAAAGACTACTGCGTCCCGCCTTGCGCCACACTACGCCGGGTGTATGACAGGGCCCTTAGTCTTCAAAGTCTAGTTTTTGTTTACTCAAATAACCTGTTGTATGTCCTCCATTGTTGTTTATGGGGCTATTTATGTCATATCTAAACATGCAGAAATTTGAGGGATGCAGCTTTCTCTGTCTATTATTGAGTGCTTGCCACATGTCTACATTTGAAATAATGAATTGAGCGTGTAAAAGACAAATAATTATATTTTAATTATATTTATCTGTATAATAATTATACAGATAATTGTATGACCCATATGGCTTGCTTTCATCAAGTGAGAATGACGTCGAAATGAAGTTTAATCAAGGTGACCCATACCATACTGTACTGCACTTAATCACACTGCTCAGTGGAAACGAAGCGTATCTTGCATGGAGAACATAAACAAATGAGTACATCACCCACCTTCATCTCATCTAGGCAGGAGGGAAGAGACCCGCTTTTACGAGCGTTGTTGGGACGTGATGGAGCCACACTGGGCAGAGACACCACAATGGGAGCAGGAAGATTGGGGCTGGTGCTCAGGGTGATGTTGGGGCAGCTGTTCGGACTCTCAGCTACTTGCCTGCAGAGGAGTGTGAGGGATTTTAAATGCAACGGGAACTTCCTGTTCCCCTCATCATTCACAATAAACAGCCTTTCTACACAATAGAAGCAGAGGTATATCTTGGGGCAACAGAAGTCAAAGTGGAAACGAATGTGAGGAACTGCTGTATTACAGCTGGTGTGATGAAAGGTCTTTTAGACAAGATTAATAGTTGAAAACGTTATTTAAAGGCTATCATTCATAGCACACAATGTTCGCATTCCGTTCTGAGCTACGCACTTGTGTTATAATGCAATCAGGCTCGCAGTAAATCATTTTAGTGTCAGAACTGAAACTGATATATCAGAATTATATTCAATTGCACTGGTCCGAAACAAATAATTCAATTGAACTGACATTAAATAAGGGGAAATAGCATAATGTTTATGCGCATACATGCCTAAAGGACATTTTGCATTCCAGTGTTCCCCAATGCACTCAACTCAATGGAGCAAAGCGTGTTATGCAGATATGTATTTAAACAGCTCTGGAAAAAATTATTATCAGTTCTCCAGGGTTTCAGTAAACTGTCTTATTTTACAAACTACTGATAATGTGTCTTTAAAAATGTACAGAGCATATAAACATCTTGTTCATGTACTCATGTTTTCATTCCTTTCGAAAATAATGATCTGAAAAGTGGAATTGACTAGGGCTGCACGATAATGGAAAAAATTCGATGTTGCTATATTTATTTTCTCTGCGAGATTTACTGCGATATAAATACGATTTCACCAGATGACTTAAAAAGCTATATTTGGAAATTCATTCATTTAGATTTATTGGGAGGATTTTGTAGAAGACTAAAATACAAATATAATTTTTTTTATGTAAGTTAGTATATACAGTGTAATTATTAAACAGTTAAATAATTAAACTATTTTAACAAAGCAAGGACATTCACACAGTATGTCTGAAAATACTTTTTTCTTCTGGAGAATGTCTAATTTCCTTTATTTCGGCAAAAAAAAAAAAAAAAAAAAAAAAATATATATATATATATATATATATATATATATATATATATATATATCAAATGTAAAATAACATTGCATAGTCTTCATCATTTTTAAACTTCTTATGCACTATTAAATTGCTTTAAACTTTCTTAAAATGCTCACAAAGCAACAGGTCTTAAATCACTCAACAGATGATAAACATTTACTGTTTTATGATTAAATTCTGCAGGTCTGTTTTGACCTTTGGTTTCTGGTCAAAAATAATTCCAACACTAGGTTCTAATTTTGCATATTCTGTGATGTGACAATAACAGACCCAGACACTGAGATATTAATGCTCAAATGATTTATTGTGCAGCCCTGGAATTGACCATTAAAAAAATAATGATTGCTGAATCTCTATTGCATCATTCATATGATTAAAACAGTATGACTAACATTCTCCATTTAAATGTATTTCAAATATATTTAGCTTTTCTCATCATTATGTTTGTCAGCATGCAAGTGTTTTTTGAAAAATTGAAATATATCTATCATTTACAGACTAAAAGAAATCATACAATTTATGTACTGGAGGAAAATTTCACTTAATATTACACGTCCTGCATTTAAAAAATAAATAAATCAGTGCGTTTTCTTGCAGCAATATGTTGTGTTTGAAAAAGGTTTTCATAAAATGACATCACTGACCTGTCATTTTCCCACATAATCAATAATGTACCCTGCAGGCACAGGACGTCAACATGATGTCATATTGACGTTGTACCTCAACGTTGTGGGGACTTTTTGTTTGTAAATGAAAATCGGGTTGATGTTAGAACCCAACGTCAGGCCAACATCAACGTCAAACTTAAAATCAACCTAAAATCAACCAAATATGAACATCTAATCATGTTACACCTTGACGTTGTGTGGACGTTACCACTATGACATCCATCAGACGTTGGATTTTGGTCACTTTCCAACACAACCTAAAATCAACCATTTCAAGAGTTCCCACTTAGATATGCTTGGCAATTATAGCAGGTTTGGCATGCTGTCTCAGGAGAGAGCCCTGAGCTTGAAGATATTTGAGCCCAGGGCTCCCGCCTGGTGTAGAAGCATATTAGGAGAACCGAGATCAGGTAGGTCTCGATCGCTCCCCCTTTAGAATGGGAGAAAAAGGAGGAGATGGGGTGGAAGGGGGGATTCTTCCAAAACAAAGATAGAGCAATAAGGAGAAAGTGATCCATTTATATTAAGCTAGGATCATTCTGATTGGATTATTACTGATTACGGATGAGTGGCCAGCGGTGCACAATCATATCACGTGCTCCTCTCGAAATTAGTTTATGAAACTTCACATATCAACGTAATTTGATGTCGTGATTGGACGTCAATATAGCATTGCCCTTAGACACTGGCTAGGCATTGAATTTTAGTCACCTGATGTCATGACCTAAATCGAACCTAATATCAACGTCTTATGATGTTGTGTGCCTGCTGGGTAATTTGCTGTTGACTATTTATCAGAAATAACTTGCAGCAGCTGAATTATGAATAGGTTATTATTGTGTTGGTGGTGGATTTATTTTATTATAAAAACTATGTAATAATTTTATTATACTCATTTTATAGCATCACCATATTATATATATCATTAAATTATACACACTTAAACAATAACAGGACCTGTATAAAAAATAAATGAAAGACACATTGTGCTAGAGCTAAAGGGTGCATGCCATGTGAAAAGACCTTTAAATGTGAGTGTGACACATACTTGAGTGGTGCTGGTAATATGGCCTGGTAATTGTAATGCTGTTGCTGTTGGCTGAGAATCTGGAGCTGCAGAAACTGCTGCTGTTGTTGAAGCAGCCTGGCATAAGACGAGTCCATCGGGGCTTCATTGGGCTCCTGCTTCTGGTCGGGTGGGATGTACTGGTGATACTTGAGCTTCTTAATGCGTGGTTTGGGTTCTTTACTCTTCTTGCTGCGGCTCTTGTCGCTGGACAGTTTGGGCTGGCTTTGCTGAATGGAAAAACAGTAGAAGAGGTGAATAAAAGTTGCCAGCTGAAATCAACCACCGTCATCAACACCTTCGCCTAGGCGTTATAAAATCTGTCTTTTGGAATTGTGATTTCAATTTTTTCTTCAACACCAAATTGCAGAATATTAGAATAATTTCTAATAAGTTTTATTGAAGTCTAAGGGTGAGTCTCAATCAGCTCCCTTGTTGAATCAGCTGATTTGAATGCTCATCACTCAATTGACTGGGCATTATCAGTGGTTATGAACAGATAGATATGTGCCAGTAGGGGCCTTTTGTGCCTACTAGTAGGCTCAGAAGGCTGTTATCACCCATCCAAATGGTTAATCAGCTATAGATCACATAACTTACAAGAGGTATTTATATTATTTATTAAATTTCCCATTGATTGTATTTTATTAACATCTACCCCTATTCCCAACCCTAAACCCAACCCTCACAGTAATGTAGAAAAAGATCGGGAACTGGAGTCTTCTCTATTAGTATAGCTGATTAACCTTGTGGATGGACAAAAATCATGTGGATGGGCTCAGTAGGCCCCTACTGGCCCATATCTATCAGCTGATAACCACTGATAGATCAATCAAGTGATAACATTCGAAGTAGGTGGTTCAGTAGTCAGGGGACTGATCAGGAAGTCAGCTATTTTAGCATCCATCACAAAATCCTTCCAGAAAAGTCCCTCAATGCACAATGAAAAGCATGAATGCTCAATATGCTCCAGTAATGGATTTCTGCAGAAACATGAATCAAGTGAACCAACTCACAAAACAAAGGTACATGAGAGAGGCTTTTTAAAAAAAGAAATTATTATTTACAGTATAGACAGTATTTAGATATACAGTAGTTAGACAGATACAAATCTAAACATATTTTAAACGTTGCTGGTATATGAAAATCAAGGTGCTTATGAAATCAATATGTAAAATCCATCAGTTATTTTGGTATTTATAAATTCCAGGATTTTACCATCAGTCTACCAATGTTTAGAAAACCATGCTGTGCCAAAAATCATGTAGCCTACATGACCTAAGGCAGGGTTCTCTAACTAAGTTGCTGGAGGGCCGCAGCCCTGCACAGTTTAGTTCCAGCCTTGTTACAACACACATAAGCTGCGGTCACACTGCACCTTTCTCCTAATAGACTTCCATTCATACGCACGCGAATGCGTCAGACTGAAAACACAAAATGAGACCAATCTCTCTGGAGAGAAATTTAAAACATGGACCAATCGCTTGCGTTTTTTAAATGTCCAATCATCTTGTTTAATCCCGCCGTTTTTCACAGCACCGTGCAACAGAATTTTGCATGCTCAAACTCTAGTGTGCGCAGCATTATCTGTAGGTTTCAAACAAGCCTGAAGGACTTAATTAGTTGGGTCAGGTGTGTTTAATTAGGGTTAGAAGTAAACTGTGCAGAGCTGCGTCCCTCCAGGAGTTTGACACCTGCGACATAATAATTCAGGAGCTAGGAAGCAGATTGAAATGTACGCTAAGTTTATTTTTGTATCACAACATATATAGATACTATTGTAGTTTTATTGATGGGTTAGGTTTTTATTATAATTTACCCGAGAAGTAATTTCCTTCAGCTGATCTCTTACTTTTATCTTAGCTTAGCATAGATCATTGAATTGGATTAAACCATTGTAAAGTAGTTTTCCTATTTAAAGCTTGACTCTTTTTTTAGTTTACATCATTACCAAGTTTGTCGTAAAAAGAAAACTTACTATTTTACAGGCTAATATGGCTAGAAAAGAGTGGCGTGGTGGGTAGTAATGTTGCCTCACATCAAGAAGGTCGCTGGGTCTAGCCTCGGCTGGGACAGTTGGCATTTCTGTATAGCGTTTCAAAGGTTTGTTCCAAAGCTTCAAAGCTTGTGAACACAAAAAGCATACATTAATTATTTTCATTTATAGTGGGTTATTTATTAAATATCTGTACTGTATATGACATGGGCCTGCTGGTTAGAACCTTCTGCTGTGATTTACCAGTGTCAAATTGTAAACGTAAAAAAAAAAAAAAACAATAGCCTACATAATAATATTAATAATAATAATAATAATAATTATAATTATAACCATCATCATCATCTTCATTAATACTATTAATATTGTTATTAACGTATGATTTTTCATTTCTAATAAATAAAAAAATATTACATTTTGTTTTATTATAAATAGCCTCATTATTTATTTATTTATATGATTTATATATAATACTAGAATAATGTTAGCTTTTGTAAGTGATATGTTTTAAAATAGAATATGTAATGTTCAACTTCTTAATAATATTAGTAAAGCAAACACCTATGTGTGCCATTTACCTATATTTCAGTTAATATGAAAAGCGAGTGCATGTTTTTACCAAATCTAAAATTTTATTTTATTTTAAATGTGTGTACATGTAAAACAATATAATTTGCACAAAGAAATGATGGGGTTCTTCCCTTAACTAACTAATGTGGTTCAAGCAATGGATCTGCAATAGAGAAACTAGGGGTTTTGGGGAACACTCGTCACTACATTGTTCTTTTCCTAAAAGATACATTAAACTATGATAGCTCAGCCGCAAGTTACGTCGTTGTTTGGGAAACGCACCCCTGATTAGGCTGACTTGCTAAAAACAAAACAAAACAAACAAAAAAAATTAACAAAAAAGATGAATAAATACTGTAATAAGTATATTGTTAAAGTAACTAGCATGAAATAATTCAACCGTATTTAAAAGATTTACCATGATTTTGTGGTTCAATTTTGTTGTAGTTGATTCGTACATGTCAGGTTATGAATAAATTAATATCTACAATGATTTTGGATTGCTATTCATCATTGCTTTGGCTCTTGTGATTGAACTGGTTGGGATAGCTTTGTTAAAAACAAAGCAAAAAAATAAATAAATAAAATAAAGATGAAAATACTGTAATAAGTATTTTGTTTATGGTTTGTTCATGTTACAGTAACTAGCAGGAACTAATTGAACTGTATTTAAAAGTTTTACCGTGATTTTGTGGTTCAGTTTTGTTGTAGTTGTTTTATTCACGTCAAGTTATGAATAAATAAATATATAGTCATTCTGGATTCTTATCCATCATTGCTTTGGCTCTTGTCATTGAACTGGTTGGGCTGGCTTTGCTAAAAACAAAAACTGAACAAAAGGTGTCACCTGAAGTTACCCATAGTCAACACCCTGTCGCTTTGGAATATTATCCACCAAATTTGTGATTTCAGGTGTTTGAGCTCGCTCAGTTCTCTTGCTAACAGAACTGTCAGCACTGTGAGAATACCTGCAGATGAGAGATTTGTGAAGTTTGCAACCGCAGTGAATAGGTGGGACGTGTATGAGCATCTACCTAAAATCACAGGAAGAGGAAACAGGAAGAATAGAGGGGACATGACCCTCATTGTTCCTAAATACTGAGTCACAGGATACACATGAAAATGGTTTGGCTCCTGGGGAAGGGAGCTGAAAGTCATTGGGATGTAATAACACACCATTTCAGGCTGGCTTAGATGTGTGTGTGTGTGTGTGTGTGTGTAGCTTCCCAAAAGCACCATTGGGAGAGAAGGTCAGCGGTGACCCTGTGTTATGTGGTAAATATGCGGAGTATGCTTTGAAGGCATGGATTATGATAAATAAATATGAAAGCTGTTGGCTGACTCATGTTTCTGTGTCCCTGTTTGTTCTTCTCTAAATGTGAATGATTTAGTTTGACCTCCAATTGAAGACAGAAGGCGTCTGCTGGCTCTTCTCTGCATCTGCTGCGACTCTGAAAGTGATTTGGCCTCAGATAGTTTTGACAAGCTGCTCTAAACAAGCTGTTTAGAGTGACAAACAACAGCACTGCTGCTGTGCTGTGCTGACACTGAGGTAAACGGTGTTTTTAGTTAGATATACACCACCGTTAAGGAGTTTGGGGTTTTGTTTTTAAGATCAATACTTTCATTCAGCAGGGATGCATTAATTGATGAATAAAGATATTTATTTTATAAAAGCCTATGATTTCAAAAAGGACGGCACGGTGGCTCAGTGGTTGGTACAGTCACCTCAGTTTGAGTCCCGGCTGGGCCAGTTGGCATTTCTGTGTGGAGTTTGCATGTTCTCCCTGTGTTCATGTAGGTTTTTTTTGGGTGCTTCGGTTTCCCCCACAGTCATGCGCTATAAGTGAATAAAATCAACTAAATTGGCCATATTGTATGAGTGTGTGTGTGTGTGAGAATGTGAGAGTGTATGGGTGTTTCCCAATACTGGGTTTTGGCAGGAAAAGCATCCTCTGCGCAAAACATATGCTGGAATTGTTGGCGGTTCATTCTGCTGTGGCAACCCCCGATAAATAAGGACTCAGCTGAAGTAAAATGAATGAATGAATATTATTTTAAAATGAAAAGTTGTCCTTTTAAACATTTTATTCAGCAAAAAATCAAAGACTTCTGTTTTATTTCTTTTTTTTCTAGAAGACAAAATTGCTGAATATTATGGAAGATGATTGAATGATTTGTTGTATTATTAAATCACTTAGACACTACTGTGGTTTATATTAATATGTAAATTAGTAAATTATTCTTTTTATATTTCAATGTAAAATTCTAAATTGTCAGCAATTAAATTTAGCTTTAGTGTTTTTTTGTATACTTTAAGGTAAATTAAGTTCAAGTTTAATAATAAATAATAAGCTACCTAAATAATAAAATATGTGGTATTTTGAAAAAGGCAAAGCTGATTGTCGATTGCAAAAATGGGTTTTTGATACTGTTGCACATGAAGGGCTCTATTTTGACGGTCCATGCGCAGAGTGCAAAACGTAGGGCGCAAACGCTTTCAGGGCGTGTCAGAACGCATTTTTGCTAATTTAAGGATGGAAAAATCTACTTTGCGCCATGGCGCATGGTCTAAAAGGGTTGAGTTTATTTTCTTAATGAGTTATAGGTGTGTTTTGAGAATAAACCAATTAAAGTCTCATCTCCCATTCCCTTTAAGAGCCAGCTGCGTCGCGCCATAAGCACATTCGCTATTTACAGGACGTAAAGTAAGTCTAAGTGGAAAAACTGAGCATTTCACTAGCAAACAGTTAACAGTTTTTTTTTCAACAGAAAACAGTTAAACAGAGCATCTACTGCGTGAGAATGAGAGATAATGGATCACTTTCACTTTCGCTCTTGGATAGGGAAACCTTTATGCACAGACATCAATTAGTCTATAAATAATTAATTGCGTTTGTTAAGCGCAAATATTCATTTCAAAACTATTTCTAAATTCGGTTCTAATTTCCAGCAAATGAATAAATTAACAATATTAACGAAGTGTGTTCAAAAACCTGAGTTACATCCTAAAACACATGCTGTGCCCCATATGATCTAAAACCTGACAGGTGAGCAAATCTAAGCTTGTTTTTAATGAAACAAATATACATATGGATATAATAAATAATACTGCTAATAATAATAACATTATACAAAAGCAAATTGTTATGAATGAACTGAAAAAGCCTCCCGAGATGAAGAAGGCATGAAAGCAGTGATTTTTTATATTTATGTAGGCTAGAAAATAATATGTTTTGTAATATTTTAATCCTTTATATTTATATTCTATATCTATTCTTATTATATCCTATATATATCCTTAATATTTAAATTTTTTCATATGTAAAGATATTTGCCTATTGCTCTCTTGTGCTTATTAAGCAGTGTGTAAGCGAGGCGCAACTCTGCGCCTGAGTTTAGACCGGGTTAGTTTTGGTCTAATGAAAAATCTATTTTAGTTTTTCAAAATAGCAAACCGCCAGCGGTCCACCTCAGAACGCCTTCCTTTTTAGACCAGAACGCCTATGGATGCACATATGAGCGCTAATGCATTTGCTATTTAAACAGCGTAGCGCAACGCCACAAAACGACTCTTGCGCCAAGTTATAACTACCAAACAAGTATTGCGCCGCACCTTGCGCCACATTGCGCCGGGTGTATGATAGGGCCCGAAGTCTGTGATTAAAGCATTACCCAGCAATCAACAGCTGCAGATGCTTTTGCCCTTGGCGCCCACTGGGGTGAAAGGAACACTATGGCTGATAAATATATAAATAATTATTAGCCCAACATTTAATTTTTTCTTTTATAAATATTTCCCAAATGATGTTTACCAGAGCAAGGAAATGTTCACAGTATGTCTGATAATGTTTATTCCGGCTAAAATAAAAGCAGTTTTAAAGTTTTTAAAAAAACATTTTAAGTTCAAAATTATTATCCCTTTTAAGTTATATATATATATATATATATATATATATATATATATATGTATATATATATATCAATAGACTACAGAACAAACCATTGATATACAATAACTTGCCTAATTTCTCTAACCTGCCTAGTTAACCTAATTACTCTAGTTAAGACTTTAAAATCACTTTATGCTGTACAGAAGTGTATTGAAAAATATCTAGCCAAATATTATTTACTGTCATCATGGCAAAGATAAAATAAATCAGTTATTAGAAATGAGTTATTAAAACTATTATGTTTAGAAATGTGTTGAAAAAAAACTTCTCTGTTAAACAGAAATTTTGAATGTTTTTTTTTTTTGTCAAAGGTGCATTTATGTGATCAATTTCCCCCTGTTTATCAGGCTGCAATGAGAGTATAGTTCCTAGCCTAGAAGGAACTATACTATACTGAACTATACTATACTTTCTTTATAGTCCATCAGCCTAGAAAAGAGCAACTTTTTATTTCCCATTAGACTTAAAAGGAAAAATAGGAAAATAGGAATAATAATGAAACTTGATCATTTTTGATGGAGATGCTAATGGTCTAATACAATTTAATGATCTATGCTAAGCTAAGATAAGCTAAAAGTGCTCACTAGGGGTGTCAAAATAATTGTTTCTTTGGTACACCGTGATGCAGATGCGGACAATTCGGTATTGGTTCAGTAATAATCATAACCGGTTATTGTGTACTGACGTCATTTATCTCATTTGCACTATGTCGCGGTAGCTTACTATTGTGAGGGTGGTGAGCGCGATTGTTTACAATGCTCCAACTACTTAAAAACACAGAAACTATGGACAATTTTACTGCGTGTGTGTTTGCTGAACAGTCTTTCACAGCTGAAGCCCCTATTTCACTGCGATTGAGAGAATGACAGTAAACTTCATTTCTCTCTCTCTTACTGTGGCCCACTTGACCTGCTGGCATGACTTTTCCTCTCTTCTCGGCTGTTGCAGCGATACTTCTGGATATATCATGGATCAGCTGTGATCGCCACTGCCGTTTATCAGTTCATTCATCTGTGAAGAGCACAACGCGCGACAGCCAATCACTGCCTTTTCTGTTGAGCGTGTGACCAATCAAAGGGGCGTAAGAGAACTTGGTAGACAAGGATCAGAAAGGGATATTTATATTTGTTTATATTATTTGCTATAAATGCTTGTGTTGTTTAAAGGCACAGTTTATATATCTGACTGTTGTAATAAAAGACAAAATTGTATTATAAATAGTATATAAATATATTTATACATTTTAATACAAGAATTGCTGTGCTGTGAAAAAAATATAAAACTGTGTATGGAAAGCATGGTCAATGCACCATGATGCACCAAGATATAGAATTGAACCGAATCGATATTGATCGACATGATAATCATAATCGAACCGAACCATGGGACAAGTGTTGGTTCAAAGATCTAGTGCTTATACTAGACCCACTGAAAATTTCAATCCATATCATATACATGCTTCATATTTTTGTAGAAACCATGAAACAAACCTTTTTTTATTTTTTATAAAATATTTAATATTTAAATAATTTATTATTATCAGCATTTATTTGAAATAAAATCCATTGATCAGTTTAACTTGTCCTTGATGAATAAATGTATTATTTACTAGAGGAAAAAAAATGTTTTATTGGTATAGCATTTTTAAATGTTAATATTTAAACAGTACTATTCAATTCAATTCAATTTATTTATTATCAAGTTTATTTGTTAAGTGCTTTTCACAATAATTATTGTTTCAAAGCATCTTTACAAAAGGTGCACATTACTTAGTTAAGGTTACTAGTTACCATAGTTTTACTAGTTACTAATAACTTTAACTAATTACTATATCATTCAACGCATTACATTTTGTTTAGATCAGCTGACTTTTACTGAATTTCCGATGGACAATAGTGCACAATTAAATACAAAAAGTCATTATGATAGTCTGTGTGGTAAATTTCTCCACATATAACTTGCTGTTATGAAATTACTCAGCAATACCACAGAGTCACTGCCCTTTATCTCAGAGCACAAAACAAACACTGACAGGAAATGACATCACTGTGGTTTAGAGACATATGGTTTACCTTCACCAGGGTGGGTCCGGGTCTTGTGGGAACAGCAGCAATGACGGTCTGAGTGGCATTCATTTTTATTCGACTATCTTCTGCTGAAGTTCGGTTTAGGATGTCCGAGCACTGGCATGTAGGTAGACACATGTGAGATAAACAGTTTTTAAAAAGCCATATGGCCACAAAGAGTGATAAAAACATAATGGAAGGGGAAATATCAGTTGATAAGATAGATACTGTTCTGCAGAGCATATTGCTTCTTATGCTTTAATAGATGGATTTGATATCAGTCTTTCTTTTATCAAATGCTTCAAGTAAATATTTGCAGTGAATTTTCCTGTACTGGTTTACAGACAGTGTGGTCTGGATGTAGGGACTGTTAAGAGGCTGACCTGGAGTTTGGAGACAGTCGGAGGCGATACAGACGATGAATCAGGCAGTCTGGTTTCCACAGGAGAAGATGCAGAGCACTGAGACTCGTGACTAGCTGGCTGATCTGGAGACAGAGCTTCGCTGCTGTCATCATTGAAGTTACAGTCGTCCACTTCATCAACTGCAGGAGCAGACAAAACAGGAAACAAGAAACAACAGCAACAACAGCATATTAAATAAAACTAGAAGAAATGACAAAAGATAAGGCAAAAAATGAAAACAAAAAACAAAACAGGAGAAGGCAAAACAAAACAAGAACATACAAAACAAGGAACAAGACAAAACAACAGAACAATAAACAAAACGAGAAATAATAAAACTAAATAATAATGAAAAAACAAACAAACAAACAAACAAACAAACAAAAAACAAGACAAAAAAAGAAACAAAATAGGGCAAAACAAGAAACAAGACAAAACATTAAGCAAAACATTAAACAAAATTGAAAAAATGACAACAATAAAACAAAACAAATTAAGACAAAACAAACCAAGATTAGGCAAAACAAAGAAACAAGACAAAACAACAACAAATAAACAAAAAAAAAATTAGCATAAAGAACAAAAATAAAACAAACAAACAAGACAACACAAAAATGAAGCAAGAAAGAACAAAACAAGGAACAAGACAAAACAACAACTCCTTAAACAAAATCAGAAAAAAATTACAAAGAATAAGACAAAAATGAAAAACAAACAAACAAAGAAAAAAGACAAAAACAAGACAAGATACTTTACAACAAAAAACAAAAATGAAATGAGATCAGACAAAACGAAAAAAAAAAGACAAGACACAACTAAAACCAACACGCTTAGACAAAACAAAGAAACAAGACAAAACAACATCAAATTAAGAAAACAAAATGAGGAGAAATGACAAAGAATAAGAGAAAAAATAAAAAGGAAAAAACAATTAAGACAAGACAAAAATTAAATAATATTAAGTAAAACAAAAAAAGACAGGGGGGGGGGTACAATGTATTATTAGGTTATTCTTATTTTGCCTTTTTTCAGTAAGATCCATCAACTAATAAATCAAGACGTGTTTTATTCTATGTGATTTCTCACTGTAAAGTAGAGAGACACAACTCTCATTACATTTTAATACATCAACAACTAGTTATTTAGTTCAGTTCTATGTGAAATGTTGTCACCACCTGCAAGTTGTTCAATGTACTTTTCACTCCTGTAAATTAATGAATAACAGAACCGGATTCTCCAGTGTGTACATGGCCGAAGTGTTCATTATAGTCGATGAACCATATAATTATGGCAGGGCTTCTGTAATATTGAAAGTCAAATTGAAGACTTTTTAAGACTGTTTAAAGACCATTATGAATGAAATATCAGACTTATACAGGACTAAGTGCTGCTTTTTTGTTGTTGTTTTTTTTTTTTCAAATAGGCCAGCTGTGCCAGTGGTTGCACAAGATTTTTATTTGCCCCACCGAAAAAATTTGAATTACTTATTTCTTGGCCACACAATTTAAACAACGTTTCAGTAAAGTCTACTACTCTTCTATAATAAACTAAACGTATGCAACAGTCTGTCCAGGTTAGTGTCCTCACCAGGTCCCTATAAATACAGATAATATTTAAACAAATGCTATTGTAAGAAAGATAACTGAACTATATTGCTAAATACATTTACCAATACAATTGTTAAAAGTATTAATGAGATAGATTGTTGCTGAATGAATGGAAGTCCCTCATGACAAGTGTTTAAGACTTTTAAGGCCTAAAATTTTGTTTTTTAAAATGATAATATTTTAATACTTTTTAAGACCCTGAGGACACACTGTTAATAAATAAACGGTATTAATATTTTGGCCGATAATGATTACTAGAAAAATAATAATAAACATTTATTGGCCGATGGTCATTTTAATCTCCAGCGGTACTTTCTCGGTTGGAGATTACTTCCTAATGAACTACAACTCCCAGTGCTCTCTGTGCTCATCAACCCCTACAGCAGCTGACAATAATCCAGACACTCACACACAGACACAGCTGTATCTCATAATGCACTGATTACAAAGACTATATATACACCTAACCTTCTCACACACATTGGGGAGTCTTGTTTTATTGCGAATATTATAAATCGGTTTTCCTGATTTGTTTGCGACTCTTGCCTTGTTCCTCGTTTTGATTCATAGCTGCCTAGTCTGACCTCTCGCCATTTTGATCACAAATATTGGATTACCCTTGTGCTCCTGTTTCTGACCATTGCCTGAACAAACTAGACTTTAATAAACTGCATTTGGATCCACAAGTCTTTTGCAAGCATCCACTTTGTAACAAAACAGCTAATCAAAATCCATTCTGCTTTAAAGGGTTAGTTCACCAAAAAATTGTTTATACTTTATCCTTGACACTTGATTTACTTTTTAATGACTTATAGTAAATTTTTTATGAATTTATTAACACTGTTGAACACAGAATAAAATATTTTCGAAGCCATTTTCATCCATAGTATACGCTAAAATTATGTTTTTTGTTTGTTCAAACTACTTATTTAAAGTGAGCTGAAACAATCCAACTAATCATTTTTTAGGAACAACTTAATCGTTTTAAGTTCAATCTACTTAAATTTGTAAAAACTAATAAGCTACCTTAATTCTTTCATGTTGTCCCAACACAAATTGATTTCATAAACTCTTTTACAGGGTATAAACAAAAATGCTGTCGATGTTTTAGAACAAGTATGGAGGTATGGACCACTTTTTGGTATGTCTTCCTTATTATGCAGGTAAATAACCCTCGTTTTTACCAATGTCAACAGGCAGGATGTTCTTCTCCACCAGCTCCATTGGTCCAGGTCTCTGTGCGATCTTCTCATTGAGGTCATCTGCCAGACGTGCCCTCTTCAGTTTCATCTGAGTAGCTTGCAAAGAAGGCTCTGCGTGGGTTTCTGAAACAAATAAACAACTTCAGAGCATTTAGAAAGCTACACGATAAAGTCTCCAGGAAGTGAGACAAAGTATTTTTATAAGACTGGTGTTTTTTTAGCACATCTGTTCGGTGAGGTACGTACCTTGTAAAATGTGCATGCGAACAAGTTCAGCACGGTCAGGTCTGCTTCGAATTTTGTGTTTCAGGAAGTTCTCAGTCTGTATAAGATAAAAATACATATAAATTGAGTAAATTAATATATAAAATGGTTTATATTTAGAAAACAACATGGTATAAATAAATTAATTACTGAACAGCATTGATTACACATGATTTTAAGCAGATTAATTAAATTTTATGGTGTTGTGATCTTTTCATAACCTTTACTAATAAGGTTTTTAAAGGGCAGTTCGTTAATGAATCATGGAAAGTGTAAGAGTAATACTGAGAAGAGCCAACTTACCCTTGCCCTTTCCAAACTTCTGACCTGCTCATGAAAAGCCGCAGGTGTCTTCAGCGCTGGAAGAAAAAATAAACATCCGTTAATTACATAACACTGACATGACATTATTTCATATCTTTAAAATAGATATGTGCAAATCGCATTTGGTATGTTAAACTGTTGAACTCTGAGACTCTGTGTCAAGTAAAGTTCATACATGTGTGCCCTAAAGGATAATCTTAGAGTTATTGTACTGAAGGTAAACTAGAAAGTCAGCATTCTGCCTGATTTTAGAGAGTGTGCACTTTTATAACTATGTTGACAGATTTAAGCAGAAAACTACTGTAAATTTGCCAATAGGAGCTAAAAATACAAATAAAGAAATAGTTCACCCAAAAAAAGAAAAATCTGTTATCATTTACTCACACTTTAAATATACAAGTTTCATTCTTCTGCTGATCACAAAAGGCTTATTAAAAAATGGTGAACTTGACTTCCATAGTATTTGCTTTTCCTACTATGGAAGTCAATGGTCAGGTTTCCAGCTTTCCTTAAAATCTTCTTTTGTGTTCAACAGAAGAAAGAAGCTCAAAAATGTTAAAAACCATGTAAGGGTGAGTAAATATTCAGTAAATATTTGGGGGAACTATCTCTTTGATGAAAGATATATTCTCTAGAACAAGCCAGGCCTTTTGAGAGGATGATTAAGAAACAATATAGAAGAGATAATATAGCCAAAATTAAAGCTTCTGCTGTTGATTTACTCACACTCCAGGTAAATGAAAAAAAATAGTCTAAGGTAGTGACTCCTTTCCTCATCGAAAATGAAGATTTTAATATTAAAATCTGAAACAACAGAAGTCCTTGGTGATTTATAAATTGATTTTATATAAACAAATTTTGGGAGAAGCATGATTAATTTTGACAAGGCTAATTCATTATCGTCAATCATTCTATTATCCAATCAGCTTAGGACCAAACCCCTATAAATAGTCAAACACATCATACCTCTGTTTTCTCTCAACTTTAGCATCCCTCCACCACCCCAACTATACACTATTAAACCTGATACCCACATAAATCTTTAAGGGGAGCGTTCTGGAGCTGGGCTAGACAGTGTGCACAGACCCCATCACTCTCTCTATCCTGATAAGAGGAATAACACGGGTTAAGGTGTCTTTCCAAGCTTAGAGACCTCTCCTAGGACAGCACAGCAAATACACATGTTCTATTCGGTCAAATATCTGTGAGTGTGAACCCGTGAAATGCAAGTTGATGGCTACAGGCACTTTGAGAAAAAAAAAAAAACAAAAAACAAGCACACAGTAAGTGGTGGCTGCTGCTGATGTCTTTGCAAAAAAAATAAATAATAATAATTAACATTAAAAATTGTAGGTAACACTTTATTTTGATGGTTCATTTGAGTATTAGTACACTAAAAAAAACATTGCAAGTACATGTCAACTTACACTAAGCCTAACCCCAACCCAAACCTCAACCTAACAATCTACTGATAATCTAATGAGAGTTAGTCGGCATGTAGATGCAATGTAACTTAAATTTAACAAACGGACCATCAAAATAAAGTGACTAAAATGTACATTATTTTCACTTTCCTGAAGCTCCAGATTATCATGAATGCACCGAGTGCTGTGTGATTTGTCTGTCAGTTAAAAGTAATAATGTAGAAATAACAGATTGATTTGCATTATAAGACCTCAAAGGCACAAGTGTTAATTTTGTTTAGCTCTAAATGCTATTGATTCAGCTATAACTCTTCTTTAGAGAAAATCACCTTTCGTGTATTGTGTAAAGTCGCTGTTCGTGAATATAAATAATCTGTAATGCTTCTACTGTAAGATCAAAGTGAAAAGCAATTTTTATTCTAGTCTCTGAAACAAAAACTGATTCTTAAAGGGACAGTTCACCTAAAAAAAACAAAAACAAAAAACAATAATTCTGTTGAATACAAAAGACATTATTTTGAAGGAAGCTGTAAACCTGTAACCACTGACTTCCAAAGTAGAAGACACAAATACTGTGGAGGTCAGTGGTTCCAGCTTCCTTGATTTTTTTTCGACTGAACTAATTCCCGTATATACCTACAAAGTCTAGTTGTATCTGAAGTCTGAAAGAGTTTAGTTTGTGTTGTCGACATGTTGAGAAGACGCTGTTTTCTGCACTGTGAAAGCAAGTTTACTTTGTATGCTCTTCTGTAGGATGAAATCTCAAGCTAATACAATAAAACGTACATCATTGTTAAAGCTCATATTGCTGTTTACTAATGCTGAGGGAAAGCTGAAATTCAGAGATGATAATTGGAATTTGGTTTCTGACAAACACTGCAAGCGTTCAATCAATCACAATGACTGGGCAAAATCTGACCAGTAAGAGCAGAAAGCCCTGGCAAAACTTGGTGGTGTATACCCTGTTCTGATGGCGCAGCATTTTCATCTATATTGTGACTGAGAAGTACATTATTTGTGTTTTTTTTTTTTTTTAAATTCCAAAGCCTGATGAAATAGATATAAAAATGTTTGTAATACTGCAAAATATGCTCAATGTTTCAGAGGTATATCGAGTTCTGGGGATATATCGATATTATTCCCCAGCGTGATGCAGGATTATCCAATATCTTTCATATTGATATGGTTTGAGGCCACACATGTGCATTCTGTGCAAATAAAAAAAATGCATGTAAAAATACCTTGGCCCTTAAGAGGTTAAAATTGTTGCCTCATTCTCTGTATTTTGCAAAATATGTAAATGATTGTGTGTTAAAAGTTGTAAATCGCCTTGTACGGCTTGAAACTTACAGTATCTATTATAGATCAGTGCTTGAACTGTGTCTCTCAGGTTAAATCTTTATGGGGCTATTCACATATTGCGTCCAAAACCACGTTGAATACGCGATGTGGCTTTGATGTTTGCTGCTATGGCCACCATCAGCTGTTCCTCACGTGTGGCACGGAAATTTTTTTAAAAAATAGTTCAACTTTTGCCACTGTGCGGATTAATACTGAATATGTGTCATTGTTATTACTTGGGGTTTAAACAACACAATCTCACGGCAATTCGTAACTTTTTCATTTAGTGGCTAATTCGTATGAATTCGTACGATCTAATTCGTACAATTTAGTACGATTTGCTTAAACTTCATAAACTTCACTATGCACTCTAGGGCATGCCCGTAGCCAGGGGGGGTTCGGGTGGTTTGAACGAACCACCCCCCTACGGCCAAAAGGTCCAGAATTTGTCCTTTTAATTATTCTATATAATTTTATATTATATAATATATTTATTATATAATTAATATAATATATTTATGTAGCGCCACCTAGGTGTATTAAGTTTAAGATAGCGCTCCAGGTTCAATACACTAAACGCCTACAGATATGTTGAAGTAGGCCCCTCTGATATATTTCAATGACGTAATGTAAATAAGGCAGATGAGAATATAAATATTTGCTGTGTTTGAATAAATTACCAGAAATAAACTCTGTGAATAATAAAACTCTTAGATAAATCAGAAAATATAAATAATTTAATTAGAATAGAAATGTAAATATTGGGAAAAACCCCAGATGTAAAACAAAATACAAAATATAGAATTTATGCACAGCTAAAAGACAGTAAAATGACCCAAAGTCAAACCCAGCAATTTACAGTACAATGAAGAATATTAATTAAACCAATATAGAAAAATACCACCTTTCTACACTCTAACAATTAAACTTATAAATCAACAAGTGGCTAAGAGTGACTGAATATGTTTCTCTTTGAAAGTGGCTACAATTGTGTCACTAAATTACACACTGAATTAACCCTATATAAACTATTAGTATAAATCTATACTGTAAAACACGCAGCAGTATTTTATGCTCACTGCATCTCCATAAACAACTCAATACTCTGTGGGCCCACACACTCACACATTCATACACCCCCCGTTGCAGGCCTGTATCGCTGCTAGTGTACGTTGTGGCCGGGAAAATGAAAATGGCCTCTTCACTCTCCTGAGCACAAATAAAATTAAACAAGATACCTCAGATGAAGATGACCTTGATCCAGATGACAGCAAACCAGATGCCAGCGATCCAGATGACAGCGATCCAGTTGACAGCGATCCAGATGCCAGCGATCCAGATGACAGCGATCCAGATGACAGCGATCCAGTTGACAGCGATCCAGTTGACAGCGATCCAGATGACAGCGATCCAGTTGACAGCGATCCAGATGACAGAGATCCAGTTGACAGTGATCCAGATGACAGCAATATATGACAGTTCTCCAAACTGACAACACTTGTGAACAACGGGCCAACGAGCCGCGATCGATCGGCGAACTTCTGCCGCGGGTCTTTCAAATCCTCACTTTCACTTTTTCTCCCCAGCTGATGAGAGGCAAATCTCATGTAGTATTCAGGCTATTTGTGGTGCTATTTGCTCCTCTTTGACTCTTTCAACGTTGTTTCATGCTAATCTAACAGTCTCTCTTTTTTCTCCTCCTTATTTTCGGTTTAACCGTCTCTCTCTCAGTTCAGCTTTAGTCCTCTGTAACTGTCAGTTGACAATCTAGGCATTTAAAAAATGCTCACTCACTCTGAACTGACTAATAACTGACACTGGAAACTTATATGATGAAAACACACCGCGAACTTAAAACAAACACAAAACAAACTCAAAGTAATCAAAAACGTGTTGTTCACACGCAATATATATTCACTTGTTTTTATACTCCGTGAATGTTACGCAATCAAAACAGCCGCGACGCGAGTCTCCCCTTCAGTTTCCAAAACTGCCGGCTGTGTCTCCTCTCTCCGCTCTCTGTTCCCAACCGCCAATCACATTTCACACTCCACACCAGAGGGCGGGACTACACGCATATAAACCAATCATGTAGGAACACCTACCAAACTTGTTAACCCCATGTATTTCAGTGAAGGTTGATCAAACTTGCTATCTTATCATATTCTCAGAGATAGACGCTCATATATTACACATCAACATTAGGATGTATATTCACAAATGAATGCAAAACACATTTTAGATTTAATTCTGTTCTAGAACCAATATGAATAAATAACTAAATAAATAAATAAATAACCTTAAGATTACTTTAAAACTTAACTTGTAGAACTTCATTCTACAGGGTTACATTTATATTCAATATATATAGAAATAAAGTGTAATTTCAAATAACTCTGGCCGGTAATTCGAATCCCATAGAGCCTCAAAGCCACAATAATGTGACGCGAGTCACATGACAGAACCCACTGAGTGGTCACATTTGAATGTTTGATGCAACATCCATGGTGTTACGCTGTTGGTCGAAAAGAGCAAGGAGGCAGAAAAGGCAGGCAGCGGTGTCATTATCGCAAAATATTGAACATATGTTCATAAAGACTGCCAAACAGGTAAGGGACTTACTTCCTAACAGATGAAAATCTGCCCCTGAGGTTCTAGGCTAACTGGCTGCATTAGCAGGGACTTCCTGTATATTTATTGACTTGTCCAGTACATGATCTCCCTTTCCCTATTTCTAACATTTTTTAAATAACTGCCCGATGAAGGCTTTAATGGCATGCAGAGTCCTCAGCCGTCAGATGTCACTTCACAGCAAAAGGCGCTAATTCTGTCACGTCTGTGTTTTTAAGGCTGTTAGCTCACTTATTCTGATCGGATATAAACCTGATCGCTCAAACCACTTCAGATGGTGATTTGGCATACATTCCAGATGAAACTGGATAGGTATTATAATTTTTTGGACAAAATTAGCCAAAAGTATATAAAAATATGTTTACTATAAGCATAAAACATGTTCTAACTTTTCAGACCTGTAGCCAGGGGGGTTCGGGGGGTTCGGAACACCCACCCTATGTGGGTGCTATGCCATCATAAATAATGAAAATAATCCATCGAAAAATGCTTTTTTTTTTTTTTTTTTACCAAAGATGCTAGAAAAAATCTGAAGAATTAATTATTATTATTATTTTTTTTTTTATTATTTATTTATTTATTTTTTGAACTGGCCAAACTGTGACAGTTGAATGTGCTGGCCAGTTTGTTTTTTGTCTAATAAATGATAGTTTTTTTTACTTTAAAACTTTAACAGATTGCTATTTTTTCCCTAATGACATATGATTTAATAAATTTGTATTTTAAAAATTAGTCTTGTTTGAATTTTTTTTTAACTGCAATTTTTAGGAAATATTTTTAGTACATCAAAAAGTGTGGTTATAATGACATCTGACTAGCTAATCCATCAAAAAAGTCACTAAAATGCAGTATTTAAATCTCATAGTTAAATAGAAACTGAGGCGTATAACTGCAAAAAGATCCACTTTTTGAGAAAAAAAGAACCACCAGGCTGGCTACGGGCCTGAAGGGACATCAGAGACTTTTTTTATATCTTGTAATTGCATCATAATAGGTCCCCTTTAAGGCATCAATCTACAGTATATTATGAATAAATGTCATTTGACAATGGATTTATGTAAACTTTAAGACTCGTGCAAAACATTACAAGGAACCTTTTAAAACACCACAATTCTGAAACATGTAGTAACAGAGAATCGGTTCTGCTTTAACTATTTCTGTGGGTGTTGAACTGACATCTTCAAATACGGTCAACAGGAAATGACACAGCGGATGTGCCTTGATTAGGAAACATTTCTTACTAACATCGATCAGCCCTGCATCAATAACCAAACATGACCTCATCACCGCTAACATCAACACTTTCAGCATTGTAATCCTCGACAATAAAGTGATAAAGGAACGCAAGAACTGCTCGTAGTGGGACAACTCCAGACATTAAGCACTGACTATAAATCCATGAGGAAAACCACAGATCTTGCTGAGCAAAAAGGCCCAGTCGCTGACTCACTATTGTGACTCTTGGATCATGACATTAGGGGCCCTAAACAGACGGCGAGCAGCAGACACACATCAGCCACACCATTGTTCTATCTCAGCTTCCTTATCAGTGTGTATCCTCAACAGACGCTTTCTTTTATTAGAACTGCTCTCCTTACTGACACACATAACTTACTCTGTCCACCCGCTGCCTGAGGAGTAATCTATTTAAAAAATGATTAAAAAACACACATCATGGCTGTTCCACTTTATGAAAAATAAGTACTGCATGTGTGCAGAGCTTAGTCGATAATGTCTATGATACTTTGTCAATGACGCTGGGATTAAGAGTTAAAATAACAAGGAAATTGATCATTTCACTAACTTATTGTTTTGGACTTGGTGGATTACTTTGTGGAAGTGCAACGCATGTGGGCTGAATGTGTGTAAACATTAATAGATGACATTTAAGCGACGTGTTTCCACGAAGCAGGTATGCATACTCACGTGGCATGATGCCCTGGTCTGCCAGCTGCTCGCGTGTGCGTCTCTGCTGCAGTCTTAACTGAAGCACTGTGGAGGAAACACAGAAACATAACCTTAGGAAAGATGGTAAATGCACGTTTAAGGAAGGTTTTCATCTTCGTATGATATGAAACTAGAATTATTCCAAAACATGTCTTCACTTAATCAAGAATGATGGGGGGCATTCACAATTTTTGTTTAGTCTTTAAGAGTCTGCATAAAATCTACATTCATTTATTCATTTTCCTTCGGTTTAGTCCCTTTATTAATCAGGGGTCACCACAGTGGAATGAACCGCCAACTTATTCAGCATATGTTTTATACAACGGTTGTCCTTTCAGCTGCAACGCAGTACAGGGAAACATCTATACACATTCATTCTCACTCACACACTATGGCCACTTCACCTATACCTGTATGTCTTTGAACTCTTAGGGAAACCGAAGCACTCGGAGGAAACCCACACGGGGAGAACATGCAAACTCCACACAGAAATGCCAACTGACCCAGCCGGGACTCGAACCAATGGCACAATGTTTATTTTGCTAGCACACATTGTTAGTCTTAAGGTGAATATTTAATCAATGCAAGTTATTTTACTTAACTAGTCATACTGTTTGTTTTGGTCATCTTCAATCAAATACTGACAATTTGCTTCTGCTTGCTTGCAATGTCTGATGATGTCAGTTTGTGCATAATGTTTAGCCACGCCCCTCCAATCATTAGATTGCACGAGTGAAAAATAAGAAGAGGAGCGAAAAATAAGACCCCGCCCCCTACTCAATATTTAGTTTCAGCAGGAAATACTTCATCCTACTAAAATAAAGGTCTGCAGCAACTGCTGGTTCATGCTTTACTATTAATAATAATAATTGAAAAAGTAATCAACAAATTAATATGAAACTGGGGTATTTTACACTACCTGACAAAAGTCTTGTTGCCTAACCAAGTTTTAGGAACAACAAATAATAACTTGACTTCTAGGTGATCATTTGGTATCAGAAGTCACTTATATGAAAGACAAACACCTAGAGACTCAAATAACTTGATAAAGTCATCTGGAATGGCAAAGAAAGCGTTCTTGCAGGACTCCCAGAGTTCATCAAGATTCTTTGGATTCATCTTCAATGTCTCCTTCTGCATCTTAGCCCAGACAAGCTCAATAATATTTATTTCTGGTGACTGGGTTGGCCAATCCTGAGAACCTTGACCTACTTTGCTTTTTTAGGAACTTTAATGTGGGGGCTGAAGTAATTTGAAGAATTGAAGAATTTGCCCTCTCCTGTAGTTTGTAATGTAATGGGCAGCACAAATGTCTTGATACCTCAGGCTGTTGATGTTGCCATCAGTTCTGCAGATTTCTTACACGCCACCAAACTGAATGTAACCTTAAACCATTATTTTTTCTTCACCAAACTTGACTGATTTCTGTGAGAATCGAGGGTTCTACCTTCTTCCACTTTTCAAAATGAACAACTACAGATCCAGTTATTACTTGTAGCCCTTACAACTGGAATTGATGACAAGACTTTAGTCTAGGGGTAGCCCATTGCTCTTAAATGTGAATCTTTTCTGTGCTTTCGTTTTATTTAAGCAAGAAAAAACTTTAAAAGAAATATAAAAACAGCGCGATTACCTTCCTTCTTATTACAGGTGCCGTTGCCCATCCTATGCAATCCTCAAAACAGTCATAAAATGGTGCGTGATTGTCAGCTGACGCACTCCATAGTGATAAATAAACACTGTTTCCAAAATGGATTCTGTACATGTGATTTGAAGCTGAGCAAAAGTCTGGGATTTGGGTGCGTATTTAAACAATTTGAACAGACATATAGACATAATTATTAATGATCACATCTAAAGATGTCAATCTTGGTGTTTTTTTTTTTTCAAACACAATTACTTTTGTCCTAAATGAGCATAAAAAGTAAGGAAAGCAATCGAATGCTTTCATTATAACTTTAGACGTGTGCATTTTTAAAGTGACATCTCTGTTATTTCATGTAATCAAATGAAAAATCATAATAAATGAATTGATCGTTTCTCTTTAATCAGAATATGTCAGTTATACAGTGAAGAAAAGATGAATGAGATTTGATATCTTTATTCTGTTTCTTTATAATAGCTATTTATTTTAATAAGCTGAACTGTTTGTTAATGTATTTGCTACTAATGTATACTATTTCTTTTCTTTTCGTAAATAAATAATTAAAAAATTAGGGGATTTTTTTGTGTTTATGGTGGGCATATCCCTTATTTTCACATCCTGTCATGTTGACAGGTATGGACTAAGCCGAAAGAAAATGAATGAATTAATTAAATGGAATCAAATAATTATAGTATAACATCATCAACAACAAAAATTTTAAGACCAAATAATAAATGACAACAAACAAATCCATAAAATGGGGTATTGGTTGAACCAACAGCTATTAATCTTGAAATCATTTATTCTAAAAGCATTACATTTGTTTTCAAAACCCTTGCAGTACATGTTGAAATCATTTTAACATGGTTAATACTGGTAGCGCTGCATAGTTTTGGTGTGTCTTGTGATAAATCACATCTAATCACTGTTTTAAAACCAAGCGAAAGAAACCACCAAATATACAATCCATCATTTCTCTTTCATCTGAAATGTTTCGATGTTAAAGGTCAACCCAAGATTTGTACTTTATGCAATGCAATAAAAATCTCAACAGGCCTGACCTCGAAAGCAAACACACAACAGCACACTGTTTATAAAAGGGATCAACAACAGAACGGCGTCCAAAGCACAAAATAATAAACAGCGCAACGGTCCTATCAACTGCACAAGGTGATGTCATCTTAAATCTTTGGCTCTGGATTCGCTGCCCATAAAAAGCGAGATGCAATGAGTTATTGCTTTGGATGAGGAGGCATTGAAAACATCAAAAAGACATTGAATGCCTGAGTAGAAGGGTGAAATGAGGGACGTTATGCACAACCTGCTACACCCAATAGCATTCCTCCATCCTACAAGACGGTTGGGTTTATGCGTTTCAAAACACCAGCGTGGGCATGTTGGTTCAAGAGAAGAACAGCACTCCTCTGCAAAACATTTGGAGAGGAGGTGCGACAGTTGATAGTGACAAATGGGATGCTGGAGAGCGCAACATGCCCAGCACAGGCAATCTGATTGGCTGAGGAGGGAGGCCCAGCACACCCAGTTCTGCTCCAGTCCCAGGAGAGCGACCACTCTGTCTGACTCACCCTTGCTAAAATAAACCCTGCCGTTGTGAGAACAAGGCCTGGGAAACACACGATTTTGGAAATGGCATGGAGGGGGTGTGGATGCAGAACACATGCATTCTGTATTACACACTTGTGAAAATAACGGTTCCACAAGAAGTTTTACTTCTGCAATGCGATAGAAGAAGGATTTTTGTGTGAAGAACGCTTCGGTGAATAGTTCCTGACACATTTTCTCAGAGTTGGCTGTGCATAATTGTAGTTTAGTGCTTTTGGTCTAGACCAAAAAACAAACAAACATACAGTAAAAAGCATGTAATACATTCAGACCTGTTCACTCTGTCATTTTTATGACAAAACCTAAAGTTTTTTTTTTTACACATATAATTTGGCTGTGTTGGTTTTGCTTTTTAGTCTGAGAAAGAAAGAAGAAAAGAAATTAGATTTACACAACACTTTATTACAAAATACTAATACATTATTTAAACAATCGACTCACAAAAAAGAAAAGAGAAAAATAATTAAGGCAAAAAGGGGGCAAAAACCAGCTTATTTTCATAAAGCTCACATAGAGCGCCACCATAACACTGCGTCAAGTCAAAGGAAGGAAGGTCATCCATAGTTATAAAAACCTAAAATCCACAAGAATTCTTGATTTGGCAGAGCTAACAAAAACTGTCAACAAGTTGTGACTCATATTCCCTTCAATTTTTGCTTTCTGGTACTATATACCACCATTTTAGCTTGTCCTAATAAAAAATTAAGAAGCTGACATTTAAATTGTTTTCTCTAAACATATTTAAACCCACAAATGAAAATTTTAGTGGAAAAGGTTTCTCCATCCAAAGAAATTCTGTAAAACAGTAAACAAAAGAAAAACTGAATCTCTCTGCGAGCAGAAGGGGCAATCACGATCAATGTCAGGATATAAAATTGAAATAAAAATATTAACTGTAACAGCACCATGCAAAAATCTCCATTGCAGATCTCCAAGTCTTTAAGTTAATGGTGACTTGTACAATGCTCTCCATTGAGGTGCTTATCCTCATTCAACTGTAAAACATCACACCATTCACTCTATTTTTAAACCTATCTTGTTAAAAACTTAACTACATGTTTTGTATAAATCCTTCCCATAAGCTGACTCTGGACCAATTATTGTCACATCTTTACAATGTAAAAACACACCTTCACATTTCTCTAAATTGGGAGATAATGACAAAAACTGGAAAACATCAGTACAATTGGCAAAAGTTAGCCCTTTACAATAGTCCTACACCAAATTTATTTCTTCAGTTGTGAGAAAGAATTGACTGTCTTGGTTTTGCTCTTTGGTCTGAGAAAGAAAGAAAGAAAGAAAGAAAGAAAGAAAGAAAGAAAGAAAGAAAGAAAGAAAGAAAGAAAGAAAGAAAGAAAGAAAGAAAGAAAGAAAGAAAGAAAAAGAAAGAAAGAAAGAAAGAAAGAAAGAAAGAAAGAGAAAGAAAAAGAAAGAACGAAAGAAAGAAAGAAAGAAAAAGAGAAAGAAGGAAAGAAAGAAAGAAATAATTTTTCAACATTTTTAAATTAAACAGTTTTAATAACCAATTTCTCAATTTAACTAATTAATCATAGTCTACTAGTTATTTTGCAAGATATTCGACTTAAAGGTGTCATTTAAAGGTTAATCAGGTTAACTAGGCAAATTATGCTTAGAAAAAGTATCCAATTGCAGTGGGCAACACTGGAACTATGATGAAAAAAGTATGCTTGAGCCTTTAGTCTTTTTATGATCAAATATGATCATGTTTTGTTATTAGTTTAGTGAAATGTATTGAGTCAGTGTTGCATTCAGTCAA